GTGTGTGTGTGTGCGTGTACTGAGATGAGCTTGGTCAGAAGTTTTTTTTTTAACCACTAGGTTTACAAATTGTCAAGGTACAATGAAAATGATAGTTAATTTTATTATGAGTAGTTTATCATTTGTTTCTTAAATACACATTTTTATCTACTTTAACATAACTAAAAATAAGACTCTATGAATTATTTATGATGACGATGAAACTCGTCTTTGTGTAGATACATTACAACCTGCTTCCAGGTTTTTCAAATATATACTAGTATTACGGAAGTGTGTGAAATAAATATGAGTGCAGAAGTAGACCTGTGGTGCCACCTGATTCACAATAAGTAGCTTAACCCAATTTATAACTGTCCTAAATTAGCTTACCATTGAAACCCGTGAAAAATGAAGAGTTGGCTTTCTTTTAATGATATTCTGGGTTTGAAAAACATCTAAAAAGTTAATCATATAAAAGACATTTTTTTCTGAATTGATGCATACACTAGGGTTTTTCTGAATCTCAAATCTGTTTTGACAATGAAATTGCTATTTTTGTAAAAATGCTTACAATGTTTATAGTTTTACGTCATGAAATAACGGCCGATTTCTTCAAGATCTAAAACTGAGATGGTTGTTAATATAGACCAAGTTGGTCTATATTATCAAGTTCTTCTTAAACTAAATAACTATAATTGCCAGATTTTAAGAAAAAATGATGGGGAAAATTAAATGCTACAATCTAAATGAGCGAGTTATAGGAGGAATTACGAATATGTGGCGACCTCTAGTGAAAGACAGATGATTACAAACCAGGCATTCCACCCATAGATAACCTTATGTATTCAGCTCACAATTTATATTTGCGATTCAGATCGAGAGTGGTTCACTTTGCAAGGCGTACAAAAATTCTCGAAGCTTCACAACCATCTCGACGCAGCGCTGCACTCCCTGTACTTGTAGGAGTAAAATATCACGTGAGCTTATCTTGAACATGTAGTTTCTATGTAAACTTTCACCCTAACCCACCTGTAGCTCCCACTCTTTATTGTGGATATTACGTTTTCGTCTTCACAGAGTCGTGTGTACAAAGCAGACTCGCATACTTTCATATTCACTCGACTGATTAGTAAGTATTTGAAATCAAATAGTTGTGAGAAAGTCAATCGTTTAGATTCCAAATTATTAATTTGTTTGTTGTTTCAATGGAACTTAAAACAGAGTAGACATAGTTTGAATATAGAAATGTCGTTCCCTTATCATTCAACAGTTCATTAAAGTTTTGAAACCACCTATTTTTTTTTTTTTTGTAGAAACCTTTATGACTGTATTAAATATCACACCAAAACGTTTACAAGTGCGTGCATATATCTTGGTTTATTAAGAAATACAAGTTTATAATCGGAACTAAGGATATTTGAAATTTGAAATTTCAACCTGAATGGCGATTTACACACTCGCGTGTAAAACGGCCACAGAGACCTCTAGGATCATGTATAACTGTTGCTAATTTTGAACTAGTAACCAGAGGAACTGCAACAGGCCAGAGCACTTGCCGTCACAAAACTTTTATTCGACTCTTTGATTTGAATAAAGGGGTTGACTGTCGGTTAGCACAGATAGCCAATTGTGTAGCTTTGTGCTGTCAGTTTTATAATGCGCCCACAGTTGAAAGTGCGGAGTGTACTCAGCCGGATTACCTCTCGGACTACATACTCTTTTATCTGCTGCTCGACACCTTAACTATCACGCCACGCCCACTTTACAGGTTACATCTTCGTTCTGGTACGTTATATGTGAATAGCAAATATTAAGATAATTAAGAACAGACTGTGATTTCTGTTGTGGGCTCGCTGTTTTGGATTATTCAGTAATAAAGATAATAATGCAAGTTCCAGCCTATTTAACGAAATGGAAAGTTTTACTTTTTCAACCATAACTTCTAGAACGTTATCGAGCGCTAGACCTAACTTCACAAATAACGCCAATTAAATATTTGTTAACTTCTACTGTATCTCTAGTACTTCGTTTCAAAACTGAAATAACAGACGACTGACAATAATAAATCTAACAACTCACTGTACTCTTGTATAGTAGACATATTCATATCATTCGAATCGTTTCACGATGTCTACAGATGTGATTGTTGTGTGTTACGCATGGACTTCCTGGTCATAAGCTGTAAAACAGTTTGGAACAAGTCTTATGTCACATCTATGTTTCCATAGGACGACTTCTTTTCAATATGCACTCTTTCCCAATGTCAATTATCCATACAACACATTGCGTAGATAAGGTTTCCACACTTAGGAAGCTTCTCTTGTTGGACCATTACACCCACTTGCTGATTGCATAAATCCATTCTGGGAGAAAATTTCCCATCTTCTTAAAAACTTCCTTTTGATGCGTTATTTTGTATTTATTTGATAAGGCAGCCACTAAGGTTTCTTAATGTTATTTAAGCTAATAATTTGTTGTTCACTACTCCACCCATTCACTTTGAACATTATTTCGAACTGAGCCTGGTACGCCTTCTATGGTACCTTTTCGTCATAGTACGTTTGGGAGATTTTGTTGTACTTGTCTGTAAATTCTTTAATTGGATGAGATAGAGGTGTATCTGGTGTAGTCTAGGAAGGACATATAGTCTTAGATGGCATAATAGTAGTGGTAACAGGTGTGTACCAGACGTGTTCTCCTATTCCATACAGCATAATTAAAGTTTGAGTTCTATGGTGGATGTAGAGAGAGGCGGGCTGGTTCGATCCATACATTTACCAATTCAATATCAATGTTAATGTCCTTCTCTACGTTTACTATGACTATTTCGAGCTTATTATCTTTCTGTATTTTTTCAATGTTGTTGTTATCATCTTTCTTTCTCCTCTAATCTTTTTGCTACAATCAGTTTGTACATCTTCTATGACTTCCATCTTACCTTCTATTGATTTGTTTTTTTAACTCTTTTTGTAAATAGTATGTTTTGTTCTTGTAAATCCTTTCTCAAATTCCTGTCTCTTTCTTATTGGTCTTATTTTCAATTTCCATCTCTATCTGCTTGACCTTCTTTTAATTATTTGCAACATTCTTTCTGATCTCTTAATTATGTGTCTTTTTCTTAGGCTTGTTTTCACTAATGCATCATTTCCATTACCTTCAATTTCATTTCGAGCATAAGATCAGTATTAATTTTACCAAAATAATCTCACTCCTGTCATAATATAGTAGCGGTTTATGTTGTTGGACAGGATCATTCCGTAGAAATAATAATACAAAGTTCACTTAATGAAAGGGGAAGCATTTTATTTCTTCAACTACAAGTTTTACAAATTAACCTAGCAATTGGCCTAACTTCAAAAATAACGCTAGTCACTTACTTGCTAATTTCTACCGTATCTCTTTTACTTCGTTAAAATGTTAATTCATAATTTACGAAATTGAAGTAACAGACAACTGACTAACACACTCTCTAACTCGGTTATCAGTACAACAAATCTCTTTACTTTAGTCAATCTGGCGTTTTTATATCATTTGAATCTTTCCCAAACTTTCAAGAAAAGAAAAATACCAGACATCACATAGTAAACAAGACACATCAAAACTCCACAGGAACCTCTAGAGCTATTGCTCCCCCCCCCCCTT